AATATATTTGTTAAACTTTCCCTAGCTCTTGCAGAAATGATATGAATTATAATGGCCCCCTGTAGAGTATCTTGAGAGCCTAAACAGAAGTAATATATTTTATGCAGAAAATAATGGTATATCTAAAATAAAATTTTATTTAATATGCTATTCAATTAGAGGATGAGGGGGAGCTTACAATATCATTCATATTTTTATAACTGTTATTTAAGTATTCTAGCTTAGGTTGTAGTTTTTAGCTTTGTTCTTTATATATATATTTTTACAGTGCATTTTCACCTCATGATAATTTTGCATTTTTACCCTAAATGAGGTACTTGAGTATTATGTATTTTATATATTTTTACAGTGCAATTTCACTGCATGATAATTTTGCATTTTTACCCTAAATGAGGTACTTGTGTATTATGTATTTTATATATTTTTACAGTGCATTTTCACCACATGATAATTTTGCATTTTTACCCTAAATGAGGTACTTGCGTATTATGTATTTTGTCAATGAAATTATTAGCACTGTTAAGTAGTGATTTTGTTCTGTTGTGAATCATTGTAATTATTTAATGTGAAGGATTTATGGCAACTTGCTGTGCTGATGTTTTCTGGTAAAATGAAATGAATATTTTCTATTTTGGTAAAGAGTGCCTTGTTGTATAAAAGTTAACTGAAATTTTAAATTGTTTGATCATCCGTTTTAGATTTATTAATTTTGTGGAACCTCACCAGAAAACTTAAAAATGAATCATGTGCATTTTGTTAAATGTATTCTCTAGAATACATGTTTGTGTATTAATAATTCATTTATTATCATTCATGTAAATTTCTATACATATTTCTGAAATTATTTATATTTAATCATGAATAATTATTAAGCTCAGATCTTATCTAAATTGCATAATTTCTTTTAATTAAATTGAGAGGGGGTGTTTGTGTGTGTATGATTTTTGTTGTAAGCTTCCCATTTTATGTGAAATTATTTTGGTACTTATATCTGATCCCAGACCAGGAGTTTCAGTAGAGTGTTGTTGCTTCAGTTAGTATTTAGTTAACTGTGATGATAGTTTGTTGCTTCCTTTTATATTGGCAGAAATTGCTTAGTTGCTAATTTTAATGTAGATTCTTTTCTTAAATAAATAATATCTGTGTCACTGAGATCTCAAGAAGAAAATTATAAAACAAAACATACAGAATAGTTGAACACATGATTATGAACTTAAAAATGTGCCAAAATGTGAAAATATGATTTCAACAGGAAAAAAGTTATTTCTTGCACCTCACTGTTATCTAAAGCTGTCTGTTCAGAATAAGATTCAAGTATTTTTATTGATTCATAATATTGTGATATTTTGCTTTATTATTTTTTTAATGCCAGGAATCTGTTTTTATTGTAATACTCAAAATGTGTGTGTACATAATTATTTTATATTTGCCTTCAATAGATGCAGTAGTTATTTTTGTTTTATTAATTTATAAATGAAAGAGCTATTAAAGTGTTTTAAGAATAGCATTAATTTTGTTAAAGTTGTATTTTATAAATAAGATTACATTTTCCCATTTAAAAATGTTATGAAGAACCAGCTTATTATCTTGTGTTTCTGCTCCTAAAATGCTTGTAAATTACCCTTGTTCTGATGTGTATCATTCCTGTTATTGCAAGTTATTATTTTTCTGTTCATTATATAGCATTCACTTTTATAACTTTTATGTATAAATTCTAGTAACCAGGTATTTTTAAGATAAAATAATTGTAATGCTCTTAATGTAAAAGGAAATTAATGAAATTTGTACTTTTAAAATACTTTATCTTGACTACATTATTTGTGATGTTTAGTCTAGAAAATAATCCACCATACTGGGCTCCTTTCCGCCACTCCATTTGTAATAAATAATAAATGTAAAACCTAAGTCTTTATATACCACTTTGTTAAGTGTATGTTAGATATTTTGTGTGTGTGTGTGTGTTTTTATTTAATCAATCAGTGTATTATTGGTGTAAGATAGTTTGGCTGGTTTAATTAGCCATTATTGAATTTACTAATTTTTAACTTTTCTATTTCAAAAGTATAATGTTTGCAAATTTAGTTGAAAGCCTGGAAATGTCTTCTTTATTACTCCTCTTCTTCCTCCCTTTTTTCTTTTTCATTACTGTTCACATGTGACTAAATATAATTACTTTAAATATATCCATGTGCTTACTAAGCAAGGCGTAAAGTTTTTAATTTTGCAGGACATTTGTAATGTTTCTTATCTGTTAAAAATTTTTGAAGATGGTAAATATTCTGAAAATGTATTTGTTGGGACTACAAAATAGGTGTTTAAATTCAAGGATATATTTATAGCATATGAAATTATTATTATTGGCAATTTTAATTATTTAGTAGACCTAGTACTTGAAATTTAAAAGAGTGTGCCAGTTGATATAAAATTAGTGAATCAATTATTAGCCTTCTCTCTGCTCATGCATGTAAATTCTTTGTCTGGAAAACAAGAAAAAATATTATGAAAAATACATTTTGATAAGAACTCTTCATATTTTTACTAAAAATTATATTTTAATATTCAAGGAACCTGGCTTAGCATGTGGTTTCATCATTGCATATTAGTTTTTATAGTTATCATTCTTGATAATATGGCATTTCAAACTGCTAAGTGACTTAAAAGTGATAACAGTGTTATATATGAGGTGCAGTTCAAAAGTTCCCAGACTAAGTCTATAATGTAAAAAATATCATGAATTAAATTGCAGAAATACATCCTCCTTCAAAATAAGACCCTTGTGCCACAACATACTTTTGCCAGTGCCTGTAAAGTTCTTTGAAGCATATCTGGAATACATTTTTGGCCATGTCCTTTAATTCAGCCTGCAATGCACATTTAACTTCATCTGAAGATTGAAATTGAGGACCCTGCAAGCATCTTGCCAGTTAAGGAAATAGGAAGAAATTACAGGGTGCAAGATCAGATGAATAAGGAGGATGAGGCAAAACAGTTTTTTTCATTTTGGCAAGAAAGTCATTGACAAGTAGGGATCTGTGAGCAGGAGCGTTGTCATGCAACAGCACCCATGCCTGCTCAGCCCACACTAATGGAACACTAATGGTCTCTTCTTCCAAATCAACTCATGCAAACGACGCAGGTTTTCAACTTAGAGTTCTTTGTTCACAGTACATCCTTCATGTATAATTCCAGATGCACAATGTCCTGGATATCAAAGAATACCTCTAGCATGACCTTTCCTCTAGAGCGATCTTGGCAAAATTTCTGCTTCTGTGGAGATTAAGGTGATTTCTACATTGCTTATGCTCTCTTGGTTTGTGGGTCACACAAAAAACACCATTTCTTATCTCCAGTAACAGTTCTGTCAAGTAGGGAAGGATCTTTGTCAACAGCCAAGATTAAGTCTCCCGCCATTTCCGTTTGAATTCCCTTTTGGTCTACGTTTAACATGTGGGGAACAATGTGTTGACATACCCTATGCATATTAAGATCCTTAGTCAGTATCTGCTGACATGTGGCCTCTGATATCCCAACTGATTGATTCTATTTGGAAAATTGTTTGGTGCCTGTTCACACATACCGCATGTACACCTTTTTGATGTTTTCATCAGTGCGTGGAGTCACGGGACGGCCACAGTGTTTGTTGTCTTCAGCACTTTCCCTGCCTTCTCTGAAACGACAATGCCACTCAGAAGCTACTTTTAGAAAAGGGGGAGAATGTATTAACACAAAAACATTCTCATAGTCACACTACTGCAAAACTTTTTAAGTTATAGACTCAGTTCGAGAGCTTTTGAATCCTGCAACGTATATTAGTGATTCTATATTCTAGTATTTGAATTTTGATTTTTTGCTGTAAAATTATCATCTTCGAATTGAACAACAACTCAAATTTTATGTAGTGCTATTTTATTACTGTTTTTAATAATAAATATTTATTTTCATAGATTATGATTTTTTATCGCTTTGATTGTGTACAAAATTTATAATTGCATTAAAATTCTGTATATCAATAAGGAGGTGTACATTCATTACAGTAAACGTGTGAATTTTTTTAATGGATTGACTTTGAGTCACATTTAGATTATATTTTACATAATATGTTAGTACTTAAGTTTCATTTCATATCTTTAAAAAGTATCTGATGTGCAAGTATAAAAATTGTTTAAAGTAAATTTAGAAGAGTGAAATATAGTTTCACTTCTATATGCTTGTTTGAATCCTTTAATTAAATTTGGTATGTACCACAGCTATGTGTATATATATTATATCAGTGCAATTTTGTGATTTTCTGTATGGCAAAATTTTTAAATATATGTATGATAGATATTTGATGTACTTTCGTATATTTTGAAACTTGTAGTACATATTGTGTGGTTTTTAACTTCTTCATAAATATTGATTATTTTAAATTTTATTCTGTCATTACTCTGTTCCTACATATTGTGTGGTTTTTAACTTCTTCATAAATATTGATTACTTTAAATTTTATTCTGTCATTACTCTGTTCCAAGTTTAACTGTAACGTTTTACATAGTCAGCACATGTTGTAAAGTGAATTGAGTTGATTTTTATATTCTGTATTTTATTTGTTATTGACAGGTCAACAGTTTGCTGATATTGATAATAAATAAGTAAATTTGGTTGGTTTTAGTTGTTAGTGTTTCAGTTATTACTATAATAATGTCATATAATTGTACTTTTTAAAATATTTTTATAATTCCTGTGTAATTTCAGTATGTAATTTTTCATTTCAATTTAATGAAAAAAAATTCTTTTTGTCATTGATCCTATTTTTTATTAATTTATTTATTGTACTTTTATTCAAGACAGTTTAAAAAATATAAAATTGAAAAAAGTAAGCATATTGAAATATCATATGTATTTACATTAGTTTATTTTTATCTCATCTGCTTTCCTTATATACCTTTAGATATACCAGACTAAAAAAAAGTGATGTATTTGATAATGTTAAGTTAAATACCCCTGCCATCTTTTTATAGGTGCATCTTTGCCATGGCGATATTTTGCTACAGATAACAGTGACATTAAAAACTGTTTCCTGTTTACTTTATGTATATGATTAACTGTGTTGAAAGTTGAACAGAAAATGTACATATGATGTCCAATACTGCATGTCCAGAAATGCATTCATTTACACTGGATGAATAGTTGAAGAGAAAATACAGCTTCCATTTTCTGATGCAAGGACCTGTATATGGTTTGAAATTTGTACATATTGTTATGTAAATACAATTGATTTTTTTTTTTAAGATGCTTGGTCGAGCTTTATAGTCTCTCAAATGTTCAAAATTTTAATTATGCATTTGTGGGAGCATATCCATAATGGAGAGTTATGAAGTTCTCCTCCAGACTCTTATTTTATTTTAATATTCAACTGCCAGCTATAAAAAAAATTTCAAGATTTATATAATATGATTAACATAAAAACTTTTGCAGCAAAATTATTATTTATTATTATTTTGGGTGCATATGGGTTTCACATTTAGGTTTAGAACATACAAATTATGTTCTGAACCTTATGACTGTTATGATACTCTAAAATTTATTGTTTTAGGGGGGATTTCATGTTTGGTTTTGAAAGTATTTTGTACTGTTGAAAGCCTGGAGTGAAATAATTATGCTTAAATTGTATTTGTTTTGCAAAGTATGAAATTTCATTCTAGCATTATGTGTATTCAAGTAGCAGTGTCATGCAACTAGCAATTATCCATTGCCAATTTACAAACTTTTATTTGTGAATATGTATTTGATAACAGGACATATTATTTTGTATGATTAGAGTAATTAAAGTGAGATTTGCCCATTTTTAGTAGTAGAAAGAATTTTTTAATTTTGAAAATGTAAACAAAGATGTGATATTTGTCTGAAAACTGCAAATGTAAAGTCGAATATTTTATGTTTGTGTTTTCTTTGTCAAGAGAAGAGGTTGAACTTAGAGGAATTGATTTTATTTCTTTTACTAAGGTTATAGAAATAGTAACAAAAATTTGAAAAAAATCCAAGAACATTTACATGTTCTTAATTAAAGGTAATTTTGAATTTGAGGATGAAATGCATCCTCAAAGTGAAATCTTTATTAAGTATGTTTGTTGTATTTTAAGGTTGTATTCTCCCCTTCTTCTGTTTACTTCTATAGCTGGCAGTTGTCTTAGAATACTTTTTATACTAATATATAGAAACTCAGTCCAAAATGTTTATCTGAAATATATTAATTTGAAAGAATACTCAGATTTTTAGAAAGGGATTACTTTAATTGTTTAGAAATTAATTTCTTATAGTTAATTAACCATTTTTTCAATTTGAGTGATAGTTAAATGTCATTGTGTACACAATCAACATATAAGAGTATTAAAATCAACTCAAAACTGAACAGTCAATTGCATGCAAGCTTTATTTAAAAATTTGTACCTAATTTCATATTAACAGTTATTTCTGTTATTTGAGTATTATTTTAATCATTTTTAAAACACTATAAATTTGTTACTCATTCTTTATTTAACCTAGCTAGTGATAGTCAGTTCTAATTTAAAACCCTAGATTTATATCAGAATATTAATGCAAGTGTAATAAATTGGAATGCTCTCATTAAATTTATCTGAAAAATTTTTAGTATAATTTAAAATTTCACATGTATATGTAGCTTTGTAAAAAAATTTTTCCCCCAAATAAAGTTTCAATAACTTGTTTTTAGTGAATGTTGTCTTATTTATTAAGCATCATATTACCAGATACAAAATTTAAAATTTTTATTTATTATATATCATAAGGTGCTTTTCTGCTATCAGGAACAGATTCAGAAATGTACATATGTATGCAAATGCATATATGTGTGTGTGTGTAGAATCATTATGTATTTGTTTCAGAAACATAAGTTGGAGTTCATAATTATGGACTTAAAACTGTGCAGGTAAAACATGGCACATTGCTACATTGTTGCACATGGGTGGATAATTAGAAAATTTTTTTGTGTGGCTAAAACTTACTACATTGTTGCATATCGGTGTATAATTAGTTGTCAAACTTTTTTTGGTTTGGGGGGGGCTGCCTGGAAAAGAGAGAGGAAACTTTAAAAAATCCCAAGACAGACTGAAAGAATTGTATGTATAAATTATTACAATAGTAAGCCTAAAGTTTAACTCAATTTTGATGCAATGATTTTAATATGTTACTTAGCACAACTTTACCAAGATGAGGTTTATACTTTGAGCGATTGAAAACTCATCCAACTATCACTTTGATTTTGCTGTAACACATGTTTCCTCTGTAGCTCATTAGAGTATCTTCAATAAACAGCATGAAATTTTACTTTAAAGATGTTCTACCAGTTCATTGATTTCTTGGTACAGTGGAAACTTTAAAATTTTAATAACTCTAAATATAAAAGAATAAGTTCTGTGTGTATGTGTAAAAGTTATTTTGATAATGAAATGTGCTTGAGTCCTTCATCACAGTAGAACCATATTGGCACCTTAACATGTTGCAAATATTTAAGTTCATTTAGACATTTTAAAAAATCTTCACGTGTTTTTATATCTACTTCTGCAACACAACTAATTTTTAATTTTTAGAAGTTTTGGACAGAGTTTCATGGGACCAGTTATGCCAAGAAAATCAAAAATTTTCTGCGAAACAGCTAAAATATTTCTTATGGTGATTATGCATCGTCTCTCCCGCCCTTGAGCATGCTCTGATATGGTGCGCTTCTCAGCCAAGGGGATACGAGACCTTAGGTCGACGGAGTTTGACGTCCGATACGACCAAGTAGGAGCAAGCTCCTTCGGCAAGTCTCCTCCCGTCTGAGGGTCGGATGAGACTTGCCGAAGGAGCTTGCTCCTACTTGATTACTATGTTCATCACTTCTTTCACATCAGGGGATGTTTATGGAAAGAGTATCACTGTGTCTGTCCTACATCATTTCTATAATGTTTGTTGGACTTGCTATAGATTCAGATGGGTTAGTGTACTCCCAGCCTCGTAAATCAAATTTTCTTTCAGCCATAATTTCAGTCGCAACTTCAATAAATTGTTTCAGTTTTGACGCTAGTCAAGCAGTTATCCACATAAAAACTGAGTATCAGTTGTCAGATAATATCTTCAGGATATTTTTCATTCCCTTGCTTGGCTTCATGTAGTGTCCTTTCTAAATGGTATCAGATAGTTAACCCAAGAAGGAGCGGACTGCAAGAAACACCAAAAACAACTCTGCAATGACGATAATATTTGAGCTTCCCATTTTCATTTTACCATAGAAATTGGAGGAAATCTCTATCTTGTTTATAGAAACTTATTTGCGTGCTTTGCATAATATCACTTATGCCAAACTTATACAAGCAAAACCTCGTTAACGTGGAAGGATTCTAGCAAATTCAATCCCTTCTCAACACAATCACTGAGATTTGGAGTTCCGTTTTCTTTAGCCCTTTGACATGTGCAATATTATTTTAATAATTTTTTTAACTAAAAACTCTAGAAATTGAATATTATGATCCTAGAGACAAATAATATGTGAATTTTAAAAAATCTATTCTTACCCATTGTTCTATGGGGGTGGTCGCACTATGAAACCACCACGCGTCTAGGACTTTGAAACTTACTGAGGTAGTAGGGGAAAAAAAACTTTCTCCATAGTTCTTTAAAAGAAGCATAAAACACAGTCTATTCACCTTCACCACATGGGTAAATGCTGACAAGATTACTTAATTTCTTCTGTAGGACCCTCTTCGATGATGCTTTCTCGCTCCCATTCTTTGAACACTTCTCCATACTCCCCATATAAATTCTCAATTTTAAGCTTATGAGTAGTGGTCACTTGTAACCCTTTTATTTCCAGATTAAAATTGTGTGACAAAGGTAAATGAACGTCAAAGCTGTGGAAAACTAACAAGAAAACGTTAATCTCCATCAACTTTGAGAGGCCTCATAAAAGTTCTTGGTTCTGAAGGATTTTATATCCCTAAACAATCCAATTTCCACATTTCAAAAATATCCATTTCTTTTACTGAAAGGGAAGTTACAAGCATAGCATTGGTTGAAGATATCTCTTTATCAGGTACTTTTCCTGATAAAGTCCAACCAAGTAAAGTTTCAATTGCTACAAATCAATAATGTATGCTGATCTGTCATAAGTTTTCCTGTCACGTCAGTTTCAAGGAGTACCTTATTAGGTTCTGACTCATTACCCACATCTGACAGTGATATCTTCATTTCTTGAAGCTCTTTGATCCATGGACCTGAACTTCTGCATTTCAACTAATTTTTAATAAGGTGTAATATTATCACGTATAGTGGGTTGTTCTAAAAGCTTCCATGTTACAAGTTATATTATTTTGTGGATTCCTTAGTCTGATTCTATAGCACATGTGTTCACATTTTTGAGAATTAATTCCTCCAAATAAAAGGGTGTATAAAGTTTCTTTTTTTTACAAGATTATATCCCATATCTTCCGCTAGATTTTTCAATACATATGTTTTTTGGAAACTTGAATCTAGGATTGCTGTAATAAGTACTTCCTTATTATCTGATACTAGTTTTATTTTCATTGTTTGAAGGAACACCTTTGGGCCATAAGTGATGTTAGACATGCTAATTTCAGAAATTGCACATTTTTCATTACTGTTGTCCGATTTCCAGTTTTGAGCATCTAGAGTATCACACAAAAGTGGCACGTGCTTTTTACCACATACTACACATCTCAGAAACAACGTGCACATACGAACTAGATCAGTGCCAAATTTAGCATTTTTCCTAGGCAGGGCAAAAACTTAAAATTGCTGCCCTTACCCATCTTCTTTAAGTTTCTGTAACAAATTTTAGTTTTTTAAATAAACATAGAAATGGGTAGTTTTCGAGATAAAATGTAAAATCCATTTTATAGAAAGAAATTCTTTATGTGCCATTTTTGTTCTAAAAGAAATATACATAACAAATGGTTTAGTTTCTTTACTTATGGCAAAGCATAAGAGAGCTACCTGCCTAAGAGGGAAGAGGTCTTTCTAAGAGTAATTGGCTCATATGCAAGTTACGCAAGAGCAAAATGGTGGAAACATCCATGCAGCCAGCTAATGCGCTTGATTCTAACCCCCAACCGAACTACCAGTGTTCAGACTTTGCATCTCAGTTGCTGGTGGCCGAACATACTTACCAAAAGTTACATAATTAAAAACCCATGTGAACCCTCTTAATGCAGTTACTTCTCCGGTGCGCTGAAATAATCAAATTTACATTGTCCTTGAAATGTTCCCCCCCCCCAATATTTGAAACAATACCTACTCATACTAATAAATGATGCTAATAGAAAACTATTCAGAACTAGATACTAAAATAGTTCAACACAGCACAAAAATGGGAATCGGACATTACTAAATAATAAAAAAAATTCATTTAAACAAATATAAGCAAATTACAAATCACTAATACAATGGATTGAATAATTTTGTGCCAATTTCTCGATACTAACAGTAACTTTAACCTAGCATGTTAAATATTCATTTCACAATAACGCCTTCATGTAGCCTACTTAAGAACTCTACTCTTTAATTTGCCGACCGGGGCACAGACCCCGACTAGTCCCCCCCCCCAGATCCGGGACTGAATTAGATGTCCAGCTGTCAGGCAAGCGAAGTAACTCTTTTTGTCTCTTAAAATATTCTATTTCTCAGCTAAACTCATTTTTTTGAGAAGAAAAACAGTTTGAGCTCGAATGTTTCTCAGAACAAAAAATACGGGCTTTGTTCACCCTCTTTTCTTTAACAATTGGCGATTCTCACTTGAACATAAACCAAAACCAGACATGGCTAAATTTATTCTTTCTTCATATTCTATTTGTTTTAGATTTTCATCGCGTTCTTCTTTTTGTCTCCCTTCTTCAAGTAGTGAAAACACCGGAGTTCCCTGCTGTCGAACTGGTGAGCATGTACACAAAAATAAAGCATGTAAAGGCAGTGCGAGTCATGGGCATTATAACAAATTTTAATTTAATACAAAATCATAAATGGATGGAAAATGTGGGTACAAATACACACCACGTACTAAATTAGCAGATACGATACAAAAACAACCAACTACTGACAACTTCAGCACACGTGAGGTAACCATATTAAGGAAAGAAATATTTTAAATGAAACTCCCCGAAGTTTCCCCATTGAGGATTTTTTCAAATATGCTAAATAATACAAATACACTGTTAGGAAAAAATCGAGGGCCAAGAAGGACTTTTGCGATTGTGACGAAATTTGGTATGCAAAAACATCTTGATCGAGCATGCAAATGAACAGGAATTGCGATCATAGCGCGCAGTTCGCGAAGTATAAAACCAGTAAAAGAGGCGGAAAATTTATCTTTTTTGTTGATGCCATTGTAATTCAGTAAAGAAGCAACTAAAGATGCCATTACGACGATATCGAAGACCTTACAGATAACAAAACGACTTTGAAAGTGGTCGCATTGTAGAGTTGCGTGAAGCTGGGTGAACATATCGAGCAATAGGCCGCCACCTGCAGCGTACAGACACTGCTGTGCAAAGATGTTGCCAGCAATGGTTGCTACAAGGAAATTGCCGACGAAATGAAGGCCAAGGAGCACAAATGCGAGGTAAGATGGGATGATTGTTCGCTAAGCCCGACCCCCCCAATGGTCTCATTTTCGACTGTTCAACGTACTACAACCACGTTTATACCTCCATGGTACTGCC